CAGACACAAGTCTCCAGGGCTGGACCAAGAGACACAGGCAAAGCCTATGCAAAAATGGAATTATAAATACTATATCCCTCCTTTAGAGAACGAAGTTGTATATTTTATAAAGTGATGTAGCTGTTAAAACTATTTTAAAGTGATGAAACTGAGATTCAGAAAAACCATGAGATATGTGCACTATCACTCAAGTCATACACACACAGCTACAATTCAAATATAGGTATGTTCAACTCCTCAGGCCATGCTCCTTTTTCATACCTCACCTAACCTTAAAAGTACTGTATGTTTATCTAATAGCTCCTTCAAGCCCCATTTCTTCACTCCTAAACATCCTACTCTTATCATTATATTGTTATAAACAGGAAACTTTCATTTAAGACACTTGATTCAAAGAAAAAAATTTTAAAAAGACAGTAGTTTACAGGGTTTTTTTTTTTTTAATTTTTAGAAATGGGGTCTCACTATATTGCGCAGGCTGAAGTGCCGTGACTATTTACAGGCATGATCATAGCACATGGTAACCTTGAACTCGCCTCAGCCTCCTGAGTAGCTGGCACTACAGGCATGTGCCACTGTGCCAGGCTGCTGGTTGATTTTAAATGGTACTTTCACAAAAAAAACCTATTTTCACTGGCATTTAGGGTACATTTTACAATAAACATCATGGTCAACCATTAATATCTACTCTAGGCAAAATTATGAAGTATCTTAACTTTGCCTTTCAAGACCTCAGTCACATAAATTCTATATTTCATCACATATTAAGAAGAATCTGAAATTCATTTGCATTCAAGATTAAGTAATTCAAAATAGATGAAGGGCTTTGCTTTCACAGGATTTAAAGGTTTAAGGTGCTGACTTCTCAGGCCTTTCTCTATGTTTACGAGGATCATAAACATGTTATCCAGCATTCCCCAAAATTATTTGACCACAGAACACTTTCTTCTCTACACAGAATCTCAAAGAATGCATTTTGAGAAATAATGGCTGCCAGGCCATCAGCCAAGTTTTCCCTGCAACAGATTTATTTTTCTCTAAATGTCCCTAAGGAGTAAAACTTATAAATGAATGATCCAAAAATGAAATTTAAAAAACAAACCCATTTTTACAATAGCATCAAAAAGAATAAAATACTTAGAGTAAGTTGAACAAACGAAGTGCAAAACTTATACTCACACCACAAAGCACTGTTGAGATAAATTAAAGATCTAAATAATGGAAAGATGTCCAATGCTCATGAATTGAAAGGCAATGTTGTTAAGATGACAGTACTCCCCAAACTGATCTACAAATTCAAAACAATCCCTAGCAGAATTCCAGCTGACTCTGTAGAACAGGACAAGCCAATTCTGAGATTCGTGACACTCAAGAGACCCAGAATAACCAACATAATCTTCTAATAGAAGAATAAAATTGAAAGATCAATACTTCCCAATTTGGAAACTTACTAGAAAGCCACAGTAATGAAGACAGTATGGAACTGGCATAAGAACAGGCATATAGGTCAATGGAGTAGAGTTGAGAGTCCAGAAATAAACCCATATATCTACAGTCAAATGATTTTCAACAAGGGTGCCAAGATCATTCAACAGGGAAAGAATAATCTTTTCAACAAACGATGCCGAAACAACTGGATAGCCACACACCAAAGACTAAAGTTGGACCCTTACTTCACATCATATGCAAAATTTAATCCCAAATGCATCAAAGGCCTTAATGAAAGAGTCAAAACTATAAAACTCTCAGATAAAAATATAGGGATAAGTCTTTATGAACTTGGATTTGGCAATAAATTCTTAAACACCAAATCCATAAGCCTCTGTAAAAATAAATAAATTGGACTTTATGAAAATTAAACTTTTGTGCTGCAAAGGATACTATTAAGACAGTGAAAAGACAACCCATGGAATGGGAGAAAATATTTGCAAATCATATATAATAGACTTGTTTTCAGTGAAAAACTCTTACAATCCCCAATAATAAAACAAGTAATTCAATTAAAAAATGGGCAAAGGATCTGAATTGACATTTCTCCGAAGAAGATATACAAATAGGCAATAAATGCTTGAAAAGACGCTCTGTATCATTAGTCATCAGGGAAACAAATGAAAATCACAAGGAGCTCCCACTTCACACCTGTAAAATGGCTATAAGCAAAGACATAGATACTAATAAATGTTGGCCAGAATGTGGAGTGGAGAATACTCATACGGTAGGCATGTAAAATGGTGGAAAAGTTTGACAGTTCCTCAGAAATTTAAATGCAGAAACACTCTTTGACTCAGCAATTTCACTTCTAGCTATACACCCGAGAATTGAAAACATATGCCCACAAAAAAAGCTTGTACATGGATGTTCATAGCAGCATTATTCACAGTGTCCAAAAGGTGGAAACAATCCAAATGCCCATCAACGGATGAATGAATAAACAAAATATGGTATATCTACATAATGGGATATTATTTGGCCATCAAATGAGTGAAATACTATTACAAGCTACAATATGGCCGAATTTTGAAAACATGCTAAATGAAAGAGCCAGCCACAAAAGATCACATATTATATGATTTCATTTATATGAAATATCCCAAACAGGCAAATATAGAGACACCAGTATATTAGTGATTTATTAAGCCTTGGGGGAGGACAGGATTGGGGGACTGGGGGATTGGGAGCAACAGTTTAAGGGCGCAGGGTTTCTTTTCAAGGTGATGAAAATGTTCTAAAATTGACTGTGGTGAGGGTCGTGCAACTCTTTGAATATACTTTTTGTAACCTTTAAATGGGTGAATTTTATGGTATATGAATTATATCTCAGTGAAGTCATTTCCCTCAAAAATCTGTAGCACAGGCCTCAAAATGTGCTCAGTGGAATGGTTCCTTCCATGGACCATGGGTTATTGGTCCACAAAGCGCTAAGGAGCTTGCACTACTATAAAACTAACAAGACTTTCTTGAAAAGAAAGTGTACTGCTTATCCAAGCACAAGCTTATCTCGTTCATAGTCTCCTGTGGGTAGCACTGATCTATCGCACTACACACACCAAATAGAATGGTTTTTAGTGTCTCTGGTGACTATGGCTACAGAGACTAAAGTGAGGAGGGCAAGCAATCTTGTAACAATGGCTACTCCCAAATTTCCATGTCAGCAGGTAGAGCATGAGGCCATGACTGAGAGAAGAGAGTTGTTAGTGAACTGCCGAAGTTGGAAGCAGGGGTAGGGTATGGAAGATGAAGAATAGGAACCGAAATATAAAACTAATCCAGAGCTGGAAGTGGAACAAGAGAACCACAGCTAAGAAAACAGCAGTAACAATGTATTCAAATTTAGCTTCTTTAAGAAGCATCTGGAGAGCTGAAAAATGTGGGTGACAAGTTACCGCCCTCACTGGCCTGTTTGGGATATAGAAGGACCTGAGAGGAGGGTCAGGAATCTATACAACAAGCAGTACAGACAATTTCAATGCAAGTAGTCCTTGAACCCCACATTAAAACAGTGAACTAGAGGAGGAAGCAGAAAATAAATGCACACAGCAGGGATGGAATAATTTTATAGAGATTTTATGGGATTTTATGGAGATGAATCCCTGGTAGTCCCTGGAGGACTCTTAAAAATTGAAGCTGAGTTCATTGTTGAAAAAAGAAAAAAAAAATCTATGCTTAACTATTTTGCAATATAAGATTTTGACTTATTCTTACTCTAATTACAAATCAGGACTTCAAGCAATGTCCTATTTTTTTTTTTTTTTTTAAGCAACAACATGGAGTCACACAATGTCCTATTTCTAGTAAAAAAATAAAAGACGTTAGGATGTAAAAAACAAAATAAAAGCTATAGTTTAAATTTCTAGCTCCTCTTAGAGTTGCAGAGGTATATTTAATCAACAATGTATAAGAAAGTAATTTCAATTAGGCTAAATATCAGGTTAAAAAGTGCTATGAGTTAGGGTTCAAGTTTAAAGAGAGCTACACACAGGGAGCCTAGGCCTTGAATAAACCAGCCTACAAGTATTTATTTAACACCAACCACAAAACCATCATTTTACAGGCACCATGGAAGACAAATGTCCTTGGCTCCAAGGATATTATAAATATGGAGACAAGGCATTTAATAATAAATGAGAATCATTTATTCATTCAGCAAACATTTACTGAGTTTGCTAGGTATTCTGCTAGGCTGAAGACTGGCAAATATGAAAGAAAAATTATTTTGTATTTATTATATTATCTATCCTTTATGCCTTTTTGCTTGTCTAGAATATTTTATAATGATTTTAAGTGCTAGTTACATTGTTCCAGTTTAGTGTTGGCTAATAACAACTGCTAATAATATTGATTTCAGGTTTGAGAGAATATAGCACTCAAGACAGAATTAACACTAATTGAAAATTATGCCTTTAATTGATCCTAAAGTAAAAAAAAAAAAAAAAAAATCTGGTAACGGCTTTTCCTTTCAAACTGCCTTTAAACTCTTTATATCATTTATTCTGGGATTTAACTAAAATACTGCCTGATATTATTCCCTAAGACTTTACACATGTATATCTCAGTCTTTGAACACAGCCAAGAGAAGGCATCCTATCTTATGCCCCTTTATATTCCCATCATACAGCACCGTTTCCTAAAGATTAATAATGTTCCATTCAAGTATGAAAGAATCTCGTTATAAGTGCAACATAATTGGACAGGTGCTAGACTACAGGATTGTCACATTAGTTCAGTCTTTTACACAACAGAGTTATGTTTCTAAGAATGCCGGTGATGCCTTCTTCAAAAGAAAAACTGCGAAATAACGGCATTACACGGTTTTAATGAGAAAGATGATGACAATAGGTTTTCCTGACAAAAAAATGACTGGATTTATGGATAAGTTCATGTACTCGTCCAGAAGAAAAGCACTTAAATATGTTGATCAGCCAAGCTTCCTGTGCAGTGTAAGGCTGTATAAATGTTAATCCCGAAGTAAAATCTTTACCTCGTAGAAATTTAAAATCTAGTCTCGCACCTGCAGCCCGTCCCGCCCCAGGCGCTGCCGCCTGCGCCGGACCGGAGCCGCCATACCTAAGTGCCTCAAGTACGACAAGGAGGTGTACTTCGCCGAGAGGGTGACCTCTCTGGGCAAGGACTGGCATCGGCCCTGCCTGAAGTGCCAGAAGGTGGGAAGACGCTGACCTCGGGGGGCCGCGCTGAGCAGGAAGACAGGCCCTGCTGCAACCACCCTCGCGACGCCGCCATGTTTGAGCAGAAAGGCTTTGGTCGGGGTGGAGCCGACAGCCACACTTTCAAGTAAACCGGGTGGTGGAGACCCCATCCTTGGTCGCTCGCTGGGCCACTGTCTAGGCAAATGCCAGGCCTCGCCCACAGATGTCCAGGGCTTCTTTGTAGCCCCTAATGCCCTCAATAAACATGAACACTTGGAGAAAAAAAAAAAAGTAAAACCTAGAGCAAAGATAACAGGAACAAAAGACATTTAATTAAAAAGGAAGAAGATAAGAATTTTAGTGCGCCCAGTTTAACTTTTTGTGTTTAGGAAGACTATAAAGTGAATGTAGGTTGTATTTTTCCTATCATGTTATTTATATGCCATTATTAGGTAGCTGAATTTCTATTTCAGCCATTACAAACTGCATCAGTTGCTTTTAACCTGTCTTGCCAAGCATATCTGATAACTCCTACCTACCTTCAGTTCTGAAAGTTCTTTTGCCCCATCCGACGCCTACTCCAATCTTCAAGCCCTTCTCCATCTTCTTCACATCAACAGCTTCTAGCGTTATCTACTCTTTTTAACTTCCTTAACTTCCTGTTTCCACTTTTCCTTCTATTGAATTGACCTCTCTCTATCAGCTCCATTCTGCGCCAGGCCTCCTGAGTGGTGCTGGAAAAAATGGCAAAAACCACCTGCTACTCAAAGAGCAACAGCATCAGCAACACCTGGGAGCTTGTAGGAACTGTAGAATTTCAGCCCTGCCCCAGGTCCACTGAATCAGAATCTGCATTTTAACAAGATCACCAGATGATTCATATGCACATTAAAACTGACAAACATTAACAGAAAACACTGCTGTAAAAATCACGGTCTCCAGTGGCAACTGAGTGGCAATTGACCTTAGTGCCTCTGAACACCCTAGGCAGGTCTCCCTGAGCAGCATGCTGTTCCATTCCCCAGGGTTGCCATTTCCAACTTGACTCTCTCTTTGGAAGTTAATCCATTGCTTTACCCCTATCATTAGCAAATAATATTACCTTTTCCTTTGCTGTAAAAAAGAAAGAAAGGGAAAGGGAGGGGAGGGGAGGGCTCAGGCAGAAAGTTCTCCCTTTGCTATCCTCACTTGCTTACCTCTGTGTCCACTCCTTTTCCCTTCTCTTCAACAATGGGAGAAGTACCTTTGCCACAGATTGTGGTCAGTTTTTCATCTATATCCTCAAGGCCATCTCCCTCCACCTCCCAGTTTTCACTCCATCCATAGAAAAATTTAATCTGCCATTTTCATTTAAAGCTGTTTCTGCTACTGCTTCAACTACATCCTCTCATGTCCAGCTTCTACCCTCACCATCTCGTCTCTGATTCATGTGTCACTTCTGCAGCCTGGCATCTCCCTTCACCATTCCAGGGACACTGCTCTAAGGAACCAATCTCACTCTGCACCAATTGACACTGTTTGTCATTCTCTCATTTGGATCCTCTCTGTAGTTCGCTTTAAGAATAACTCTCCCCTCTGGTTTTGTTTTTCAATTTCTTGCTACTCTTCTGTCTCCTTCATGAATCTGTTTCCTCTACATGTACCTCAAGGTTGGTGTTCCCAGGAATGCATCTTCGGCTCTTCCCATTACTCATTCCTTACTGCAGGATCTCATCCATTTTCATGCCATATGCTGATGACTCCCAATATATAGCCCAGACATCTCTGATAAACCTGTTCATAAACTTCTTGTGTGTTGCTCCACTTAGATGTAACTGAAACAACTCCCATTCAGCATGTCCCAAACTGATTCCATTGCTCACTTAGTACCTGTTTATTGAGCACGTACCATGAGCCAATGCAAGGTACAAACTGATTTCATTGTTCACTTAATACCTGTTTATTGAGCATGTACCATGAGCCAATGCTAGGTAATGGGGATGCAGTAATAATTAAGCATACCCCTCTCCTAGCTTCTGTAGCTTACATGGAGGAGGGGCATATAGACAATAAACAAATAGATATCAGGTGGTGATGAGGGTATGTGAAAAATAAAGGTAAGTAAGGGAGAGAGAAGGTGCTGAGGTCAGTGTTATTTTATTGGTGGTAGTTAAGAAAGGTCTCTTTAGGTTTGGGGCAGGGAGCGGTGGCTCACACCTGTAATCCCAGCACCTGGAGAGGCCGAGGCAGGCAGATGGCTTGAGCTCAGGAGTTTGAGACCGGCCTGGGTAACATAGGGAGACCCCAGTCTCTACAAAAAAACACAAAAATTAACCAGGTGTGATGAAACATGCCTGTGGTCCCAGTTACTCAGGAGGCTGAGGTGGGAGGATGGTTTGAGCTAGGGAGAAGGAGGTTGCAGGGAGCCAAGACTGCATGACTGCATACCAGCCTAGAAGACAAAGCCAGATTCCTTCTCAAAAAAAAAAAAAGAAAAGAAAAAAGAAAGGTCTCTCTTTGATAAGTTGGCCTATGAGTAGAGAGCTGAAGAAGGGAGGAACTAGCCATGGTGGGGAGAAAATTCCAGTATGAGGGAATAGCAAGTGCAAAAGCCCTGAGGCAGGATGAGGCAGGAGTGTGTTGGGACGTCCCAGAAACAATAAGGCTGGAGCAATGGGAGTGAAAGACACAGTGATAGGAGGTGAGTCTCGGGAGGCAGCAGGGGTCAGGTAGGTGGGAGAGGGTTTAGTGGGCTCTGAGAAGGATTTTGCTTTTACAGTTAGTGGAATGGGAGCCACTGGAGTTTTGAGCAGGAGAATGACATGTTCCGACTTGATTCCTATCCACCAAACTTCACCTCCTTAGCCTTCTCCTCCCTATCCTCTGATCTCAGTGAAAGGCCCTTCTGTCATCTGACTCTTATAATTCTCATTCTCTTTCTTAAGGTTCAGAGAACCTCAGTACAATATTCCAGTTTTAAATATACCATTATTCTGCATAAGGGTCCTGGTTGCTAATAGCTCACAGTCTACAATGTTGTAACCTTAGCTTTTAAATTAATTTTCCACAGCCAACAAGTAATAAAAGTACTTCAAATTTAAGGGTTTTGTTTTGTTTTGTTTTGTTGAGACAATCTCTCTCTTTCGCCTAGGCTGGAGTGCAGTGGTGCGATCTTAGCTCACTGCAACCTCCACTTCCCAGGTTCAAGTGATTCTCCTGCCTCAGCCTCCCAAGTAGCTGAGACTACAGTCACACACCACCATGCCTGGCTAATTTTTGTATTTGCAGTAGAGTCAGGGTTTTACCATATTGGTTAGGCTGGTCTCTAACTCCTGACCTTAGGTGATCCACCTGCCTCAACCTCCCAAAGTGCTGGGATTACAGGCATGATCTTTTTTTTTTTCTTAAAGAATATATAAGAATTATCTCATCACCTGCACATTCTGCACATGCATCCCGGAACTTTAAAAAAAAAAAGTCTGCCTTTTGCCATTATCAGGAAAAAAAAAATTATCTCAGAATCAAAGTAACAAAGGTGTTAAAGTTAGTGGGTCTTTCTGTGTTATGAAAACATATTTATCATAAAGTAATAAATTTCTGGGTGTTCTGTTAGCAATATCAGGAAACTTTGATATGAAGTATAAAAGTTATTGTGCAGAACAGGAAACTGAAGCTGGGAGAGTAAGGTGACAGGTTCAGATCACACAGCTCATAGGAACATAAACTGTCTTCTGGCTTGTTGCTCTTTTCACTTTCATATATCCCTGAAGAAAAGCCAAACTTCAACAGGTGCACTTTTAGTTTTTGACAACCTTTGTTAAAGAAGTAAAAACCAAATCATCATTTAGTTCTTTGTATTTGAGATAATGGCAAGACATGTCAATTGCAGAGGCAGGAGTGAGACATGCTCAGAAGCCCTTGGAATCAAGCTCAGAAGTCCCTAAGTCTAAGCAATCTTGGTACTCAGAGCCAAGTCACACCATGCCCAACAAGTTGAAGCCTTCTCAAACAGCTCAGCCCTTCAGGCAAGGTTTAATCATATCTAATTCTGTAGCTCTTTCCTAACTGAAGCATATGATTTTTACCTATTCAAATGCTATTTATTTTATATTGACCCCAAAGGAAATCAGTGGTCTTTTTGTGGCCCCTTTTTCAAAAGGTATGCATTTAGAATAATGCTTTAAATACAAATTATTCACCTGGTGGAGGGCAGAGAAGGGGGGCATGTACATAAGCTTAGAAGGAGTATACAAGTGCCAGGGAGACTGGTTATTCAGGAAATTTAAAAGATATTCCAGTGGATATAAAGAAAACAGCACACACAGCCATTATTTAGTTAAACAACTCTCTATCTCAGGCGCATATCTGGCATCACTGATGCCTAATAAATTAACGAACATGTCCCATCCTGAAACCCTGAACTTCTGCACACAATGACTTAGATCATAAAGTAACTGATGAAAGCATGAGACAATGCCAGCCTGAAACTTTCAATGCACTTGGCTCTAATTAGATTTAGAAGAGGCAAAGGCGTCCATGTTCTTAGCTTTTGATTTCCTGGGTTTTTTGTTCCCTCCAAAGTTCCTAGGGTCTTCACTATAGAGGAAGATACAGATTTGAGGGAGAAGTAGGTGAATTCTGTCTGGGACATCTAAGTAAATATCTTCATTAAATGAGAAAAGATGTCCCTAGAACTCAGGACATAGCCTGGACTGCAGATAAAAGTTTGCAACATGCCAGCAAAGGTCTACTAGGTTATCCCATGGAGGTAGATGGCCCAGGAAGAGTGTGCAAAGTGGAAAGAGGCTGTAGGGCAGGACAGTCTCCTTGACTGCGTGGTTTTTACCAGCAGCCTGGTAAATAGCAGGTAGTGCAGGGGAGAATGGACCAGTTGAGGAATAGGGATTGGTAGAGTGAGTGAGGCAGAAGCTGAAATTGTTCAACCCAGAGTCTAGACTGAACAGGAAAGAAAGCAATGCCATGAGCAAGTTGAGAGACTTGGAGAAACGGAAGAAGTCAAGAGATTGGTTGTGGCTACTACACTTACTAGCTGTGTAATCTTGAGTCTGTCACTTAACATCTCTCTTAAATGTTACACATTCCATGTGTAACTATGCCAGGGTTTTAGCCTCTGCTTTCTGACATGACAAATAAGCTCTCTGAGAGATATATTAAGAGGATTCCTCAAAACACAGTTTCTTCATCCAAACAAGTAATTCTCTCCAAGGATGAGAAACCATTTGAAAAGAGTGAGAGGAGGAAGGAAGGGAGAGGATATTCCAGAATATGAATAATCTCT